CTGTGCCTTTCTCACAGTCCTTGGCTAAAGTCATGTGAGCTCTTAATTTAGCCCCTCACTCGTGTGTGAGCTCCCAGAGGGAGCAGGGAGCATGTCCTATTCAGCTCTACACCCTGTGGTGTCTGCTGGGCATCTCTGTGCTCTCAGCCCCCCAGCAACACTGAAAGGCTGTGTCTTCCTCTACTGAGTATAGGAGAGATGCTCAGCATCACCAGTCACCAGGGCCATGCAAATCAAATCCATGAGACACCACTCCATACCCCAAGAGGGCTATTTTAAAAAGAAGAAAAAGAACAAATGTTGGCAAAGATGTGAAGAAATTGGAATCCTTGTGCATTGCTGGTAAGTGTAAAATGGTGCAGCCACCATACCGGATAGTTCAGCAGTTCCTCAAAAAGCTAAACACAGAATTACCATATGATCCAGCAATTCCACCACTTGGTATGTCCCCAAAAGAACTGAAAGCAGGGACCCTTACCCGCACACCCACGCTCACAGCATTACTCACGATATCCAAAGGGTAGAAACAACACAAGTGCCCATAACAGGTGAATGGATAAACAAATGTAGTATATCCACACAATGGAATATTACTCAGCTACAAAAAAGAATGGCATTCTGATATGTTACGATGAGGATGAACTTTGAAGACATTGAGCTGAGTGACATAAGCCAGTCACAAAAGGACAAATATTGTACGATTCTACTTCTATGAGGAACCTAGAATAGTCAAATACACAGATGGAAAATAGAACAATGGTTACCAGTGGGAGAAGGGAATGGGGAGTTAGTGCTTAACGGGTACAGAGTTTCTGTTGGGGAGAATGAGAATGTTCTGGAGATGGATGGTAGGATGGTTGTGCAGCAGTGTGAATGTGCTTAATGCCACTGAACTGCATGCATGAAAATGGTTAAGATGGTAAATTTTATATAATGTAGATTTTGCCACAATAAAATAATATAACCAAAACTCCCCAAAAGGTGATATTATCATCATCCCCGTTTTACAAATGAGGAAGCTGAAGATGAGACAAAGTTTAGACAACTGGCCCCAGGTCACAGAGGCCCCTGGGACAGAACAGGTTTGAACCTAGGCTCACGTCATCTGGCTTCCAGAGAAACAGAAAGTACGGGTCCCAGGCCATTCGGGGAACATGGAGGGAGACAGAATGCACAGGGCAGCACAGCCGAGGGTGGCAGAGGACCTGGGGAACATCGAGGAGGCGGGGGTGCTGGGAGACACTTGAGTGAGACCCTGACCTCTGGCTGTGCTCTCAGCAACTTGGGAGCCCTGAACTGGGTCTGGCCCCCGCCCCACCTCTCATTAGCTGTGCGACTCCTCTGCAGTGAGGATCCCCTCCTCTCTGATGAGTGCAATGCCACTGTGCCATGCCCAGATGCCCAGTGGGGTCTCCCAACACCACCACATAAAGCTCCACCCTGGGTCAATGCCCCCTCCTTTCCCCCTGCCTCAGCACCCCTCCTCTAACCAACTCCACTGCCTTCCAGAAAACTCCCGGGACGACCTAGACCTCCGGTTCACTGGCTGTACACTACAGAAGCATCATTAGTCTACTTTCTAACAATGTTTCTTTCTCCTGCCTCTCCCCTTAGACTGTGAAGCTGTAGAGACCACAGCTCCTGGCCTGGGTCAGCGGTGGGCACTGGGCACTGGCCAAAGCTCCCAGCTGCTCACAGGAATTGGAAGCCGAGGCCACAGGGCACCAGTGAGACAAGGGAGAAAGCAAGGCAGGAGAAGCAGAGCCACACAGGGAGAAGAGGGGCAGGAGGAGCGGGGTCTGGTTGGGTGAGGGGCTGGCTGCAGAAAGGAAGGGTGCACAGAGGGACGCAGAGCCATCAGGGCCCTCCTGCAGGCAGGAGGGGCACCGCTGAGCGGTGAGGAGAGGCGAGGCAGAGTGTGGGGCAGAAGGGAGAGGAGTTGCCCCACATGCACCTCCCACCACCTGCTCTTGAGGCCAGAGGCCAGGCTGGCCAACAGAGGCCAGAGTGCCCAGCATGGCAGTGCCAGGGTGAGGGTCACACGGTGATGAGGCAAAAATGAAAGCAGTAGTGAGCAGGAGAGGGCTAGGAGCTCTGGCCTGGGTGCCAGCCCACAGGCTGGTGAGGCTCGGCTCAGAAATATCAGGCGCTAATCTGCATGCTGTCTGCACGTCTGCGTGGCCTTCGTGTGCACCCCATGGGGGGCACCAGGGCTGGGAGCAGGCCTAATCCCATCCTGGCCTCCAGGTCTCCAGTCCCCTGGGTGCCCTGGCCAGCTCATTCTCAGCTTCCACCCTGCACCCTCTGGCCTGGTCTACCTGAAAAATGATGGGCATCCTCAGGATGTGGGAATCAGGGGACTGCCAAGACCAGGCTCTGGGGCTCAGGCTGGGGCTGGGGCACAGGAGGACAGCAAGTGGGTCCCCGGAGGGCAGATGAGAAGATGGAGGAGAGAGCCAAGGTACATGGAGGCTGAGTCAGCCTGGCAGCCTGTCCCTCTTCCTCGGCTTCCTGGGGCCCATCCCACACACGGTGGCTGAGCTCAGAGTTATATATACTCAGCTGCACAGGCGCGCTGCCGAGAGCCCTCCGTCAACCCCTGTGCAGGCCTGCCTCAGCTCACACTCCGAGCCTGGTAAGAAGAGACGGGATCAGCCAGCGTCTGGACCCCAGCAGGATTGGCAGCCACCGAGGACAGGTGCTGGGGGGCTGGGGAGTCACCAGACACTGGCGCCTCCAGCCAGCCTGCCCAGAGGCTGACCCACCTGGAGCCCAGGCCAGGCAGATGGCGGGCCAGGAGGAAGGAGAGGAGCAGGCGGGCAGGCTTCTGCAGGCACACAGAGGCCACGCAGGGTGATAGCACCCTGCGCCTGGACTCGGAGATCTAGGTTCTAATCCCCACTCTTCCACTTTTCACCTGAGAGACCCAGGGAAGCTCTTGGCTTCCCTGAACCTGTCTCTGCATCCACAAGCAGAGGTTATAACCAAGCCCACCACCTCCCCTGAAAAGACTCAAGAGAGCAGATGTCAAAGCCCACCAAGGGCAGCAGTAAGGGGCTCCTGGCCTCTGCCCCCTGCCAGGTCCCCCTGTGTGATAGCCACGCTGTCTCTCTGCACAGGGAAGGAGAGGCGCAAACATGGCCCGAACAGTTCCTGGGCAGAATTCCAACCCAAGGCCAGCCGGAAGTTCACAGCCTTGCATTTCTAGAACCCTGGCTCAGTCACGATCACCTGGTGACCAAAGACAGTCTCTTCACCCCAGTTCCAGTCACTTCACTTAATATGTGAAGTGGGAGAGAAAGAGCCTCCCATAACAACTAAATAAAGTAAGCATCCACCCAAATGTCCACGGACAGGTGAGGTGGAGGGAGACGCAAAATGTGGCCTATCCATACAGTGGCCCATTATCATCCTTGAAAAGAAAGGAAATTCTGACGGTTGCCACCACATGGAGGACTACTGAGGACATTATGTTAAGTGATTAGCCCAGTCCAAAAAGATAAAGCTGTGTGAGTCCAGTAATACAAGGTCCCTAGAACAGTCACATCCACAGAGACAGAAAGTAGAGTGGCTGCCAGGGGCTGGGGCGGGACAGGGAGTTGGCCTCAGTGGGGACAGAGGTTCTGTTTGGGAAGATAGAAGGTTGTGGACATGGATGGTAGGGATGGCTGCACAACAGTGTGAATGTGCTCCATGCTGCTGAAATGTACACTTAAAAATGGGTAAAAGGGTACACTTTATGTTATGTGTATTTTACCACACACACAAAAAGATACGACTCAGAACCCAAAGTCTGGATGGTCCCCAGTGGCTCTCAAATACACATCTGCTGATTCTACGACTTTTGGCCGTATCCTTGGGCCTTCTAGACCCCTCAGCTCCCTCTCTACGCTCAATGCTTCTTGCACACTTGTCTTTGCCAGATGATTTTTCCCTTTGAAGCACACAGATGTACCATGCACAGTGTCCAGGGCCCACACCTTGGGACAGATCTCCCCTCAGAGCCTCCAGAAGGACCCCACCTTACAGACACCTGGCCTTCCGGCATCTGGCCTCCTGAATGGTAAGAGAATAAACCTCTGTTGTTTGAAGCCAGTCTGTTTGTGGTGGTGTCTTACAACAGCCCCCACGAGCACCTCACAGGGGACAAGGCTTCTGCAGGATGGGGGGCACGACCTGAGTGGCAGCCCTGGGGGTGGGCACGTGGCCTGCAGCCATCTTGCAGGGAGCTAGGGTGGGGCCCTGTGGTCAGAGACCCTCTCAGCAACAGCCTGAGACCAGTGTCTGAAGTTGGCAGTCCTGGGGGGCTTTCTGATGGGAGTGGAAGCCTGACCTGGGCCTTCCAACAGCTGTTCAGTGTTTGTTTCTGACAGACCCTCTCTTCCACCCAAAAGTCAACACAGACCAGGCCAACTGCTTGGTCCTCCCACATGGCTGCTGGGCATAAAGTGTCCCTGTACGCCCTGCATCTGCTGCCACTCTCCAGAGCAAGTTCTGGAGCACAAGGTGTACCACGCCCTGCTGGATCTGTCTGGAGACACTCCACAGTCTGCCCTTCGGGATGGCGATGTGTGTGCCCACCGTATGGGTCCAGACCTGTCCCACCCAGACCTGCACACAGAAGGCTCAGGAGCAAATGAGGGAATGAGTCCAGGGGCCACCTTCCTGAGCACCCTTCACAGCTGAGGTGGGAGGTAGGAGATCAAGCGTTTGTCTTGAGGACAGCTGTGGGATTCTCCCATGCTGCTCTGGGGGAACGTGCTGCCCACCCTTTCCCCAAGTCTCCCCCATCCAAAGGCTTCTGCTCAGATGCCCCTCATGGTCTGGGAACCCAGGACAGAAGAAAGCCGTGTCTGCTGACAGAAGAACCAAGAGGCCACACCCCTCCGTCACATGGACGGGCCCCAGAGTTGCTGGGCCCGGCCCCTTGGCTGAGGCCCTATTTCCAGAGCTAGTCCACGAGGGCAGGAGACTGCCACCCACCCCAACGGGCTCCTTACCGTACATCTTGCCTTCGTCCGAGAGGATGATCTTGCGCCTACCACAGGGTGGGTAGATGGCCAGGGCCTCCTGGAAGCTCTGCTCAATGTCCGGGCTCCACACACCCTCTGCGTCATTGTCGATGGGCTTGTTCAATGCCTGACTGCCCCCAGAGATGTTGCTCCCCTCGGGGGAGTTAGGAGGGCTCCACTCGTTGGAGGTAATGGTGCCGGCCGTGCCCTCCAAGGCTCCGCTTGGAGGAGCGCCCTTTGGACCTGGGTGGGCAGAAACCACAGCATTGATGGGAGAACTGGGTGGCGGTGAGACAGGGGTACCATGGGAAGTGCCAAGCCCTAGAACCAGTTGCTGTTTCTTGTTTGGCCACTCACAGCACAGGAGCATGGAGGGTTAAGGCCTGGAATCCAGGGCAGAACATCTCTCTGTAGACGTCTGCTTCTCACCCTGTCAAATGAGCACAATGACCTAGGCATCCTCTGATCGTAGCTCTAAAAACCCAGACAGGGCTGCAACATAGGAGAAAAGACTAAGTGCCGGCAACGTTCCAGCACTAAATCAACAGTGGGCAAAAAGGATGCCAAATATTGCACACTGTTGGTAGGAATGTAAAATGGCACAGCTACTGTGGGAAAATGATGGCTCCCCCCAAAATTAAGCACAGGACATGTAACCCTGCAAGTCCACTTCTGGGTATAATCCAAAAGAATTGAAAGAAGGGTCCAAAGAGATATTTGTAAAGTCATGTTCACAGCAGCATTATTCAAGCATAGCCAAGAAACCCAAATGTCTGTGGATGGATGAATGGATCGACCCAATGTGGTCTATACATACAATGGAATATTCTGTTACCTTTAAAAGGAAGAAAATTCTGACACAAGCTACAATGTGAAAGAGCCTTGAAGACATGACGCTAAGTGAAATAATCCAGCCCCGAATGACAAATACTGTGTGATTCCACTTAGAGGAGGCATCTAAAGTGGACAAAGTCCCAGAGACAGAAAGTAGAATGGAGGTTACCAAGGGTCTGTGGGGAGGAAGAAATGGGGGATTGTTGGATGAATACAAAGTTTGTTTTGCAAGATAAAACAGTGCTGGAGTTCCGTTACACAATGCGAATACACTTTTAAAACTACTAAAGAGTACACTTAAAATGGTTAAGAAAATACAAATTTTTTACCACAATTAAAACTTTAAGTAAATTTTTAAAAGGATGCCAAATAAAATGCAGGTGATCATTCTGCTATTCCAGCCTCAGCTTTGGCTCTTCTCAAAGGAAGAGTTTGGTGCCCATAGATTCTCACTTGCTGGGGCTACAGGGGACTGACCTGCAAGTGCCTCCTGAAGCTGACAGCCAGCACAACCCTGTCTGCAACACAACCTGCATGAGACAAACCCAGTGGCCTCTAGGCTCCACCTGTCTAGGCTGTAAATTTCTAGACACAATTCTCAGGGGTCTGAAAAAGAGCAGGACATACTAGGCATCTTAAGGCAGTTTTTGGATTATGGGTACCAGGCAGGCACCATCTGTCTCCCACAGCCCTCCCTGAGCCCCAGCTTCCCCTCTCTCCCAGCTGCTGAGCACATCTGCAAAGGAGGACCTCTCACCACCACATACATCACCCCTTTCCTTCCCCACCATTAGCCATGAGGAGCAGTGCCGTCCGGCAGCCCACACCCAGGGCTAGGCGTCTAAATGCCCAAGTCACCCCAGCCTCCACCCAGGACGCTCTGGGAGGAGAAGAGACCTCCCCACAGCATTCTTTGCTTGCTCTCCCTTCCCCACACCTGAATCCCCTCATCCCAGGCTGAGGGACATGGTTCTTCACAGAAGGGTGGGTATCAGTGAGGAAGCCGATGTCCACAGTGTGGGAAAAGGAGTTGCTGACTACAGAGTGGTACATCCGGGGACGGTGGCGGCTCTGAGGAGCTGGCCAGGCACAGACAGTTGGAAGGAGTCAGAACCACTAGAATTTAAATCAGGAATCCTAGAGAAAACCTAACCCAACCCTTCAGCTTACTGATGAGGACAGGGAGGCCCAGAGAGGCCTATGGACTCACCCAAGGTCATAGGTCATATAGCGAGTCAACAGTACCACTGGTCTCCATCTCTGCCCTCCAGTGTCCTGGGCCTTTTAGCAAAACATATGTTGGCTTCTTGTGTGGCTATCAAAATAAGCTTTTTTCAAAGTGTGTCTGAGGGGGTCACTTGATCTGAAACATCTAGCTTATTTCTACCAGAAACTCTGGTCTTGATTCTATCATGAATGTGCAAACATTTTTCTGTACCTTCTTAAAAGAGTTAACTTTAATGTCTGGCAATATAGTAAAAAAGATGATTTTAAAATTCTCACTCTATAAAAGAAATTTAGAAATGATATATGAAATATAATACACTTCTAAATGCATAGCTGACTTTGAAGAAAGTAAATTGCTAGAGGCCCAACATGAGAGAACTCCAAGCTGATAGTAAAAAGCCAAGCTGATAGCACAGTAGCCCTGGGAGGCAGAGGGTGAGCTGATCTGAGTAGGAAAGCACTGGGTTTCAATGGCCACTCAGAGATGAGACCTTAGACCTGAGGGATACAGGGAAGTTGTTGCCTGGGAACAATATCTCAATCCTCAGAAAAGAGTAGAATACTCACAAATTGTGACAAGGAAGACTGCCTGTCTTGGCCTAAGCCTTAGGTATAAAAAAGAATTGTCTTTCCTAAGAATCTGTAACCAAGGGCCTGCCTTTAAGTTGATTTGAGGTTTGAACTTTATTTTACTCAGGAACTCCCTATTCATTAAAATAAACAGTGGTCCCAGGCTGAAAAATCTCTTGAAAAGGCAGTCTTAACCCAGACTGCAGAGAGTTCCCAAAGATAATGCCTTGCTAAAGATGATCTCAAAATCCAAAATTATAACACATAAAAGGAAACAATCTACCACAACTAATATTCAATTGGAATTAGATCCTCAAGAACTACAGATAACTGAACTATCAGATTAAAACTATTATATAATTGTATTTAAAATAATTATTGACTTAAACAAGGAATTGGAAACATGAGAAAGAATTAGATAATATCAAAAAACACGAAGCAGACTGGAAAAAAATAAAACATTTAGAAATAAACATTTTGGTCAATGAAGTTAAAAATTCAGTGGTTGAGATTAACAGCAAGTTAGATACACTTAGAGAAAGAATTAACATCCTGGAAGATAGATCTGAAGATGTTAGAGATGTATTTTTTTTTAAATAATGATGAAGAGCCAGGACAACAGAATAAGGCAATTAAACATACCTTCAATCAGCATTCCAGAAGACAGAATATAGAAAATGAAGTAGAACAACAGTTGAAAAGAGTGTGGCAGGGAATTTTCCAGAATGAATGAAATACATGAATTCCAGTTCAGGAACCATACTGAACCCTACCCAGGATAAATCCAAATAAAATAAATGCATATTGTAGGGGCACTGCAGAATACCAAAAACAAAGAGTAGACCATAAAAGCATTCAGAGTAAAAAAGGACAGATTATCTACAAAGGAAAGATTATTGTATTGATATATATTATATATATAGTATATATTGATAGCAGAGTTCTCATCAGTAATTCTAGAAGACCCAAGTTAACACTTGCAAACTGTTGAGAGAAAAATAACTACCAGCCTAGAATTTAAAACCCAACCAAAATAACATTCAAGAGTGAACATTAAACAAAGGCATTTTCAGACAAAGATGGAGAGAACTTGTACTAACAGACCCTCACTGGAAAAAACAGTAAAGGGGGTATTTAAAAAACAAACAAAAAACTGATAGGAAGAGAAGGAATTACACACATGGGAGGGTAGGGAGCAAAGTAACTGGTGAAAATAAGAGCAAATCTAAACTAACAACATTAATACAGTTGATGATTACTTAGGTTGGCCATGCAGTACATGCACACACACACACACCATTTTTCTGAACCATTAGTTCAAAAGATACATTTGGTAAAATTCAAGACCCAGTTACAATAAAAACCCTTAGCAAACTACTAGGAACAAAAGGAACTTCCTTAACCTGAAAAAAAAGTATTTTCCAAAAACTTACTCTGATACTGTGACTTATAATAAGAAATATATTATTTGTCCCAGTTTTGCCCCAGTTCCTGGCATAGAGCTCCTAAGTCCTCAGACTTTTCTAGGGAATGAGAACAATAAAGATGTCTTGTTTTATGAATTAGTGACTTCTGGCATGCACCTAAGAATGGGAGCTGATGATTATAGGCAAACCAACCACGTGGTTACAGGGTTGGAACTTTCAGTCCCACCTACCAAAATCCAGGGAGGGGAAAGGGGCTGAAGGTCAAATTGCTAATGGTCAATGGTTTAATCAACCATGCCTATGCAACGAAGCCTCCATAAAAACCTGAAAGGAGAGGGTTTGCGAACTTCAGAGATGGATGCAGAGATTTGGAGAGAATGACACGTACTCAGAGAGGACATGGAAGTTTCATGCTCCTTCCCCAGCTTAGCCCTATGCATCTCTTCCATCTGGCTGTTTTTGAGTTATACGCTTTTATAATAAACTGATAATCTAATAAGTAAAATGTTTCACTGAGTTCTAGCTGCTCTAGCAAATTAATCAACCCAAGGAGGGGAGTCACTGGAACTTTAGTCTATAGCCACTGATCACTGGGGCTTGGACTGGCATCTTACGGTGTGGGGAACAGTCCTGTGGGACTGAGCTAACCCATGGAATCTGCAGCTGTCTCCAGGCAGACACTGTCAGAATTGAGTTGAATTGTAGGATACCTTGGTGTCTAAGAATTGGTATCTGAGACTTACTGGTGAGAACCCCGACCCTAAACCTACACACATTAGAATTGGTGACTAGATATTGGTTACCTATAGAATTGGTTACCAGTACAAACTTACTGATTAAACACTACATTACCTTTAAAGTCAGGAGTAAGAGAGACTGCTCACTTTCAATATTTATACTCACAGTGTAATAGAAGTCCTAGTCAACACAATAGACAAGAAAAAGAGATCTGAAGATTAGGAAGGAAGAGGTAAAACTGTCATTATTCTAAGGAATTATGACAGGAGATTGAAAAGATTATACAAACAAATTATAATAACTTCTAAGAGAGTTCAGCAAGATCAATATATCAAAATCAATTACATTCTTTTATACCAGAAATCAGTATTAAACAATATAATATTTTTTAAATATTCCATTTAGAAACCAAAATCATAATTTATCTAGTGATAGCTAACAATAGAG